ATACCCATTCAAGTCAGGTGATTTTTTATTCGAGCGCAAATACACACACACATACTTGTATATATAAATATTACGTATACGCAGCATGGGCCACTGTCGCTTGAATATCGCTTATTAACTGCAATCCACAAAATGAAATACCAAACAATTATTAGCATTATTAGGCTGTCGTGTAGATTTTCAAATTTAATTAATTATCACAAACTAAGTGAAAATTGCTGGCATTTCACGGCGGCCAGCACGGTTTGCAATGAAGTGGAAAATATGTATCTCTGATGGGGTAAGGTTGGGAGGAAGGGAAGGTTTGGCAATAGTTGGCAAATTGCAATTCAATGTCATTGACGAATAATCATAAACTACATATTTAGAAGCTGTCTGAATGTCTGCACAGTACGATTCAAGTATATAGAATATTAACATGTGTTATTGAAAGGCTGGAATACGAGTATGATTCGATTGCGCAGCTGACATTTGTATAAATAAATTCATGTGTAGATAAAGAAAACAGTTTACAGGACCTTGCCAGCAGTTCAAATATATTTGCCCTTTTACGGCTGCTTCTCCCGCTTTAAATTAATTATGTGGACTGTTTCCGGGCATTGATTCGTCTTGGGATAACAACTAGCATGCAGTCAAATATACAAAAATGAGTGTATTCGAACCAGGCTGAGCTTCTCTGAATATAAAAAGAACTAAAGCACTTCTAAAACTAAAACAGATTAAGGTCTTTGTTGTTGTCAGGATACTTGCGGACATTGCAGGCAGGACGCCACAATTGGCATCCCATGATGATTTCTATAGAAGCTGCAGACGAAAAGCAGACAAGCGTAGAGCACTTTCTTTGTTACTGTCCAGCATTTAGCAGAAATAGGTTAATTGTTTTCAGACAAGCATTCATAAACAATATCGCTTCAGCCATCTCTACCTTATCTACCTAATCTATCATGGCAGTAGGCTATTTGTATAAAGGGCCAGCATTTTTTGTCATTACAAATCTGCTTTTTTTTTTTCTTTTTTAGTTCTAGATGCAGAGAGGTTTATGCAGCATAGTTCAAATCTATTTGATGCATTGAACAAGGTGAAAAATTCAAGATATTTTTTAATATACTTGTACTTGTATATATATTTATATATATACAGGCATATACTATAACACGACATGTTTAGTAAAAAGCGTCAAGCTAACGCACCCTCAGATAGTCAACTTTATCTATGAGGTACCAGATTAAACGCAGGTTGCGGGGCAATGCATTCCCTCTCGGTGGGGGGCGAAGTGTATCTTTTATGTATCTCTTTTGATCTAAGGGTTGAAGTACTTCAGTTACCCCTGGAAGTATTGAGTCGCCTTCTCAATGAGTTGTCTTAGAAGAGCCTTCTCCTTTTAGCCCCGACAGTCTCGAGTTGGGTGCCTAAGAATCTCTTAATCGCATTCTAAGACAAGCTAAAAGTTACTGTGGCAGAACGAGCTGCCTTCTTCAAAGGCGCCCTAAATTAATAATCATTGGGTTATTAATTGAGTCTTTAAATATGTATGTCCTGTTGTGCTGAAACTTTAAACTGCAATCCAAATAGACAGACAGGTGGATATACTTGTATTTAGGAAAACAAAAATATACTTATCTAAAAATGATATCTGCTTGTTGTGTGTTTCTATAAATATGGAGCGCGCTGTAATGCTGCCCGAGTTTATATTATTTAAGCAGGCGGCCGTTTCTGTTAATTATATTTAATATAATTTTCAAAATTCTGCTAAGTGTGGGGCGAACGAAGCGATCACATTGAGGCGTGTCCGTGACTTTTGTTGATACGCCGCAATGATGATAAATCTGAAATGAAATGAAATAAGTAGATGCCGCCTCGGGACTGCTTCCCCTCCCTCCCCACCTGCTCCTCGCTGCAAATAAATACCCGCAACTGTGGATGTGCGTGTGTGTGTGTGTGTGTGGGTGCGGGTGTGTGTGGAAAGCGTGAGGGAAAAAGAATTGAAAATACTAAAATATCATATATAAACAATATTGCACACGGCACGAATGCGGGCGCTTCTTGTTTTTGCTGCTTATGGGCGCCCACACGATGGTGGATGCGGACAGCGTGCCCCCAGCCGCAGTCGCAGCCACGCCTCACCTCCCCCTCCCCCCTTGCCACGCACTTTCATCAGCGTTTGTAGCACAAAACATATAGTTTTTCATTGCAAATCATTTTGCATGCTATTTTTGTACAATTCTCCTTTTCTTCTTCATCTGTGTGTGTGTGTGTGTGTGTTTTTTTTTTTTTTTTTTTTGATACAATATATGATTATATATTTTATATATTTATGTTTTTTCATTGCCGCTCATTGGCAATATGTTGTCTGTTTACAGCGCCACTGGGCCTCTGCCCCTTCGCCTCGTTAGCCATTCAGCAGCGTTTTAAAACGTTCGCTCATTGAACGAAATTTCCTCTTCAGCCTCTTCCTGATCCCCCTTTCCTTCCCCTTCCCCTTCCACGCACCTCCTTCCCCCTTCCTTACCCTGTAGTTGTTACCTTCATTCACGGCTTTTGATTTTTCGATTTGGCTGCGAAATGTTGGCTCTTTCATTGTTTAATCATTTGGCTTATTTGAAATGTGCATAGCGGCCGGCGATTTTGTGAGCGTGTGCCAAACATTGGAAACGTGCTCATGTGCTTTTTATGGGGAAATCCTGTTGGCCATCCGACTTGCCTCAAGTTTTATAGCGCCACAATACTATACTCTCGTATATGTATTACAAATAATATACATAGGTGCGCATACTTATCCGATCTTTGTTTATAAATAGCCAACGCCAATGGCATCGCGCGGTTGATTTGCTGCGCTTGAATATTCCAAAACAGGAGCGGACTTCCGAGACAAATCTTATAATTAGCTCTTTACAAAATAATTACCCTAGACGCGTTTCTCCTTGAGGATTAGTTTCTCAAGGCCAACAAATATTCCTTCCGCTCCATCGAGCACACATTAATTAAAATCAATCTTTTGGTGACCCCGTCCCGTCGTTAAATGCATTTATTTTACACCCATAACTTGGAAGGACAGTCTTTTTTTAAACTTTAAGTTAATTGTATTTTTGCATTTTGCTGCATTTTTCTGAACTATTTGAATCAAATACTTCAAACGAAGCCAAAAGCTTAATTTGAACATTATCATCAAAAGTCTTGTGTTAATATTAGAAATATTCAGCCGTAAGATTACAAATTTCACTTATATGTATATTATATCTAGATTAGTAAAAATACTATAAAAACATTTCAAGGCATTAGTTTCAATTCTATCATGCAACGCTTAAGTGATGAAATTATGAAAAAACGGCCGCATTTTAAAAATGTTTTTAAATCTTATATTATTGTTATGCAGATTTAGGCTATAACATAACATTTCACATACAAGTACATATGCGAGACCCGACCGAGTTGTACACTTTAACATTAAAATGCAATGAGTTTATGCTGGAATTGCTCTATTCTGCACCCAATTCGTCAGATTTATCCCCATAGTTTATTTCATTTTTTCCAAATTTTAAATAATGGCTCGGTTGTAAAAGATTTTCCATAAAAAGCACATGAGCACGTTTCCAAGATTTTCCAACGATGAAGATGTGAAGTGTCTGAAGCTACTCGAGGCGTCTCACTATAGATAGGGTATTAAATTTGATAAGGGGACTGCGTGCGGGAATTAATATAATTTTTCTCAAATTTGTTATGTGTTCATTGTTAGGGCGGGTTCTTCTGGGACTACCCTGAATGGACACTGCCCAATTAATTTATAAATCCTTTAAAAATATTTGAGAAAGCGTGTTAAATATTCATTTATATTTGTCAGTACTCGCTTCTACCATATATGTAGCTACATTTGATTTAGTCAGAAATTCAATATATTTCAGTATTTTCTGAAAACTGAATGTCTACTGCATCGAACATAGCACTTCCTAGCTCACGTCGCACTTTTAGTTCTGTGACTCATTATTATTTAATAACTGTGGTTTTTAACGTACTTGAAAAAATCTTAAAATTTATTTGAGATTATTACAAATATATAGACAAAATTTAAATTTATATGCAACCTTTAAAGATCGAATTTCTAGTGCCTCTGATTGTCTAGAGGTCTATAGAGACCGCACAGAACTGTATATATCTGGTCTACTTGTATATACTTTAGATTCCGTGGTTCCTTAACCTTTAATGGAGCCCCGTAACCCGCTCTGAAGCTGAACCGGCAATGTACCGCGTCTTTTAGACGACACAAACGCGCAGTCAAAGCGCTCAATTAGGCGTCTAGTTTAGAATTTTGGCAAAGCTGAGGCACTTTGTTTTTTGTTGTTGTTGCTGTTGTTGCTCTCTTGTTTTTTTCATAAATGAAAAATGCAAAATTTTATGAAAGAATGAACAAAATATTGAAATGGAAACTTGCACGACAAGCAACGAAGCAGACAGACAAGACCAAAACGTAGAAAGGGAAAAGAGACGAACAGTCAGACAGATGGGCAGACAGACGAACAGACGGCCATTGGACGGTTGGACGATTGGACGATTGGACGATTGGACCAACGCAGACAGAGGCAGAAGTTTTGTTGTATTTTTGGCAATGAACGAAAACTACGTCAACTAAAATGTTGTAGAGATGAGAGCGTCGTGCGCAACACACACGCACACCCATTTAAGTAGTAGAAGAAGAAGAGGAAGACGCACAACAACAGTAACAGCAACAACAACAACAACAACAACAATAAAATCTTAAAAAGAATATTTATTTTGAAAATGCGCGCAACGCGAGCAGCGAAAAAGATTCGGAACATTTTCTTTTGGGCCAAGCGAAAAAGTTTTTCAGTTAAGGCGGGCATAAAATTGTATTCAGTCGTACCGAGCACATCGCACGCTTTGGACGACAAACGTAAGAGCCCGGTCTCCCCACTCGAAGATGGACTAAATTGATTCTGATTCTGAATCTAAATCTAAATCTGATTCTGTTTGCAATTCTCTTGTAGGTCAATACCAGTAGCAGCAGCAACGGCCATAGTAACGCGAACGGACACCAGACAGCGCCCTCACAGCAGCTGCATCATCATCAGCATCAGACGGTCACCGATTACGCCAAACCCAACAAGGGAGTATCGCATCTGACGCAAACGATCGAAGAGACGACCATAGTCGAGGATAGTCGCGAGGATCAGTTGGATTCTATGCTTGGTAACCTACAGGCCAATATGAGTCGTCAAGGTGTGAATACTGTTCAGAAGGGCTGCTGCAATGCCTGCGAGAAACCCATTGTGGGTCAGGTGATAACCGCTCTGGGCAAGACCTGGCATCCGGAGCATTTCACGTGCAACCACTGCAACCAGGAGCTGGGCACACGCAACTTCTTCGAGCGCGAAGGCTTCCCCTACTGCGAACCCGACTATCACAATCTGTTCAGTCCTCGTTGTGCCTACTGCAATGGCGCCATTCTGGATGTGGGTTGAACCGGACACAGCTTGCGACCAGATAACTCCCATAATTTATATTCAATTCTGTTTGCAGAAATGCGTGACTGCTTTGGATAAGACCTGGCATACGGAGCACTTCTTCTGTGCTCAGTGTGGCCAGCAATTTGGAGAGGATGGCTTCCATGAGCGCGATGGCAAACCCTATTGCCGCAACGACTACTTTGAGATGTTCGCACCCAAGTGCAATGGCTGCAACCGGGCCATTATGGAGAACTATATATCGGCATTGAACTCACAATGGCATCCCGATTGCTTCGTCTGCAGGGTAAGTTTCCCTCCCTTCCACACTCCATGTCTCTCATGCTGCCTCTCAGCTGCCCGACTTCGAAGGAGTTTCATGAAATTTCGTGCGGTTTCGGAATACCTGCTCAATAGAATCCTTAGTAGCTCTTGGGATAAGTCTACTGAGGTGAACATTTTGGAAATCACGCGTCATTTCATGATTAACTCCTTCGCAGTTTGCGGCAGTAGCTCCGAAATTGTTTTAAAATATCTACAATATTTACGTTCGCATTTTAAAATCTAGGACTGCAAGAATGCCGTGCGTGGCAAATCCTTTTATGCCATGGAGGGCAAACCAGTTTGTCCGCAATGCGTGGGCGTTGATGAGGAGGAATAAGTTTAACAACAGCAATTACTTCAACAACAACAACAACAAGAACAAAAACAACCACCACAACAACTCACAACTCACAACACACAACACACAACACAATACAAACAAGTTCAGCAATAAGCGCCACAAAAATAGCCTCAGCTCGGCTCTCAGTACGCACAGCGACAGATACATTTGTATCTATTATAGGCGTGCTTGCTGCGTGCCACTTTTTAATTATTTTCCTTGATTTTTTTGGCTGTCATCTTTGTTGCCACAACAGCTGCTGGCTATTTTTGTTGGCATTAATATATACACACATATATATTTATATATAGTATATGTTTTTTGGTTTTTACCGTCAACTTTGTTTGCTGTTCCAAATACGTCCAGCCAAGAACAACAAGAACACGTCTAACTGACCCGCTTCCCCCCCTGAAAGGGCATTCTGGCTTGGCCCACAGTCTACCAAAAATAGCTGTGTGTGCCGCCAAAATTGCCAATCTATGGTCTATGATCTATGGTCTATGGTCTGCCCCTATACTCAACACCCTTGAAATGAGAAAATCTATAAATGTTGAACTTTTTTATAAGAAAAAGTTAGCTTAAGTTTTTAGGTATTTTTTAAATTTAATAATTTATGAAACAATATTGTAATTTGTTTTTGTAAATAAAATTTAAATAATAATTGAGAAAAAAACACAAAAATTTTGAAACAAAAGCAAAAAAAAATTAAAAATAAATATGAACAAAAAGCACAGCAACAACACCAAAAAGTTGTCGGCGACATTTGCGTGGCGTGCGTGCGTCTGTCAAGGCTACGGCTAGACTGACCCGCCCGCCCACCTACAGTCAAGTGGCAAGGTCAGCGACAAGGCTCCAACACATGTTTGCGTCTGACCTTGACATGTGCTGGCTTGTCCTTGAACTTGCTATTTGTGGCACAAGGTGTTGTTGCTGTTAGTGCTGTTGCGCTTGGAAACAAATTACAATATTGTGGATAGGTGAATGGGGCAACCCCCAGGCTGCCTCTCTCCATCCCTCTGCCCCCAATTGCCGCATTTCAACGTCCAACTATTTTCGTTGCTGACGTTTTGCCGCAATTTGCCGAAATTAGAATAATTTCCTCTTTTTTATTTTGTGGGCGCGCAATCTTTATTCCTCTAATTTGCACAATTTGTTTACCTCTATTTGCTTTATTTCCCTACTTAATATAATTTATTAGAAGGCTTTGAATCTAATTGCCATGATTGTTAAATATGTAGGTTTCCGTGTCCAACAAGAATTAACACAAGGTCTTACGCTCCCTAATCTCAAGTATTAAAGAGAAACTCCTAAGATAGAAATGGACTTTCAAAACCTGTCATCCAAAAATTGGTTTTATTATTATTTTATGTCCGTTTCTTTTATGATCTCTAAAGTTTGGTAGAACCTTCGGTCTTTGTTGTCTACTAAAATTATCAGAAGAGCTCAGACCGTATTCCACTAAATAGAATAAAACATGTATATTCTGCAACGTTTTGGTTACATGCTATAATAATTGTCGTATAAGGAATTAATAGATAACTTCTTAAAGTAGTTTTCTAAATCAAAATCAAAGTTGTAAAAGTTATGTTTTTTGCATAAACTGGATTAGATTGGATGTTTCTTCCACTTTTCTTTCTTGTAACCACAGCGGAGTATATTAGGTTTGAGCTGGGAGAGGGAATTATCTCCGACCCCCTATTCTGTTTTTACACGGTATATTGGTCCCAGAAAAAGCCGTGTAAAGAGAAACGTGTAAAAAAAAAGACCTGATCATACGATATTTTAAATCGTGCTAAATGGAATGTCGTGTAACCATATATATTTTTAATTTTCAAACCGTGTTAAATGAAAAGCGTGTAAAAAAAGAATTAGAATGACTCGACTCGACAAATTGTCCATTTGTCCATCTGCGTGTTTGGATGGACAACTAGATTCCTGAAACAGCTTGGCCCACATTGACCAACCTTGGTATGTAGGCTCTCCTATTTCCCCCTATTCCCCGCTACAGAGCTTCATCAATACTGTCCCCAATTCTAAAACCACTCGGCTCTCATAGTTTGTATGCAACTATAAATTATTGATAATATTTTCATATTCTAAATAAGTTGCACTCTGAATTGCTTAAAACCTCAATTAGAGGACACAATCAATACGTATATCCACAAATAAAACGACCAGCTGCCTAATTTTCCTAGTTTCCCAAGTAATTTTCGGACTTGTTGTTTTCGAAAAGTTTTTTAATTGTCGACCATGAAAAACTGGAGCGCTAATCAATAAAAACCAGCACACATCATACTATATATGTATATATAGTATATTCGTATATATAATGTGTGCATGCATCGGACATGTTTAAAAATCAGACGCTGACATATGAAGTTTGAGCATTTCTGGAATTTGTGTTAAACAAAATTTCTTTTGCGGCAGATATACAAACAACATTTTTGATTTGTATTTGAAAATATATGTATATATAAACATATATACTATATATCATGGATATTTGGTTTTGATTTGGTTGGCATATGCATTTGGTTATTTTTAGGAAACATTTTTGCACTCAGTCGTTAGCGACGAAAAGGAAAGCAAAGGCAACAAAAAGTCTGAGGTGATGAAATTATGATATATGTGTGCGGATTAGGTAATCTGTGAATTCTATAGGCCTAGCTGTACATCTTAAAAAGTATAAAAAGATTTTATTCGAGAATTTATTCCCAGAAAATAATCTCCAAAAAATATGGGAGAGAAATACAAAATTGATGGAGGAATCATAAAATAACTCAGTTTAGCAGATCGTTTATAGATTGATTTCTGTCGCCGTGCCGATTAGGAAAATATGTACACCTAACACGGTCTTTTTTTTACACGATTTTGATATGAAAGTTAAAAATTTCATATATATTTCTTTAGAGATAAGGAACCAATCACCTATTTTTGCATATGATCAATGTCTTTTTTTACACGGTTGTTTCTGGAACCAATCTACCGTGTAAAAACAGAGTTAGGTGTACTTTATGCTTACTTCTCCCTATATAGTATAGCTAATATACCCTTTCTAACCTTCGGTAGGGTATAAAAACGATGAAGAGTAGCTCAATATTCCCAAAAACAGTTTAAATAACACTATAATTAGATTGTTTTCCATATTCAAATAATATTTTACCATACAAACTCTTTGTCTCTGATTTAACATCAAATGGGGATAAAAACTTCCAACAAAGCTTTTTAATGTTCCCTTCTGTTACAAAAAAAGAGATATATATAAATATATAAATATGGACATTTTAGCTGCTGGACTACTAAGTCTGGATAAATAATGCAGAGACACTTTTATGACCGAATTAAAATTAATCAAACACTCTACCGATCTATCTATTTATCTATCTCTCTATTTATCTATCTATCTATCTATCTATCTATATATCTATCTATCTATCTATAAATACTTTGATACTTATTCAAACGCAAAACCGAAGAAAGGTTCTTGAGACAAGTAGACTTCTTAAAAAAATGGGCAACTAAAATTTTAAACTTGAAAACTTTAGTTAACAAAATATTAAATATTTGTTTTGATAATTTGATTTTATTTGGCGCATTCGCCAGACAATAATTATCACTGATCAACAGGAAATGTATAATTTACACTATGTTTGTTGAATTTCTTCCATACACTTAAGAATATTCCAAAGATTCGATTAGGCAGGCAAATAATTTGCACAAAACTCATAGTTTACAACCATAATATAATATTAAAAGCAATCTTACTACTATACAAATGTAAGGCTTTCTATTATCAAAATAGTTATACGAATTACTATCCACGGCTTGATATTTTGGACGAGTTTGTCTGCGAATTGTTTGCAGGTCTGACCTGACCATAGCTTCAATAATTATTATGTTTGTAATTTTTCATGCTGATTAGTGAAGTAAAGATGCAAAGATATTTTACAATTGGGAATGACTGCCACAAATTTCCGGCAACCTGTTTAAATTTGATTCTCACACAGACAAATCTATGCCAAGTTTTTAAAGTTAAAGACCTCTAGAAGTGATATTGGGGCTATACGTAATTAAAAGTGACCCCAACGGTGGTACAAACGTTTGAGCGTCTGCCAAGAAAGGAGACTTATCCGCCTTAATCTCGCCAGCCGACGCGGCAACAATAAAAAGCTTTACTGCGCCGCATATAGCAAGCCAAAAACCGTGGAAATATTGTCGAAGTCGACCAGACCCAAGGTCTGTGCTACGGAATTATTAAAATATAATAAAAGTGAAAATTATTTTGAATAATTAGGAGCCAAATGTTGTTACATTTTTTGCACATATTGGCTTGGCGGCCAACTGTTGCCAATTACATACGCTCATAAATTAGGGGCCATTAAGCGTGGCCATATGGTGCCCCATATGCCGATTCCGATCCCTAGAGCTCTCCCTCGCGAGTGCTTCTACGTAGTTGCAGATTCAATGCAACATACTTGTACTATCTGGCAACAATTTCTACGAAATATTCAACCCAATTAGAAATTTTGTCACATAACTATGCGAAAGGCGCGACACTTGAGGACCGCCATAATGCAAGCCATTTGTTTTCTCACACTGTGCACAGTGGGCGCGCAAAACATTTGCCACACATATTTCATGCAAACACAAAGGAAAGAGAGAAAGAAGGAATATCTTTAGCCAATTTAGAGCAAATGCTTTCAAGCTAATTGAACAGCGACAATAACAACAATATAATAAATAATACAACAAAAAGAAAGAAATTGTTTCAGGCATGGTTTGATAAATTTATACGCATGAGGGACGCGACGTTTTGTGGCTGTTGTTGTTGTGGAAAATGAAAACGAAAAATCTTAAACAATAACATTTTGCGCACGCTTTTGGCCAACGTCCAAAAATAACAAGCGATACGAACATGAGGAAGATATCGCCTATATAGCCAAATATAAGCGATATGGAACTATCAATTGTGCGGAGGACTTAAAAAAGTAGAGAGGATACATGTCAACAATTCTATGACAGCTCACTTATTTATCTTTCTAACACATACTTATGAAGCATTATTACCAGAACTAACAAATTTGTTTATAAATATAAACAATGTTCATTTTTTTTGTTGGCATTGAACATTTCGAGTTCCACATCCACGATAAACAATGCTGGGTGCAAATGAATAGTAACGGCAAAGCTTCTATTCTAGTATGGATTGATAAATTTAAAGTAGGTTTAAATACGAGTAAATAGGTTGGTAGATAATAAAATGGAAAACTAGACAATTACATAGAAAAGAGAGATGATTGATTTATATACGAGTATATATTAGTCCAAAAGGATAAAAAGATAGATATAAGAGATGATATATGCACATAGAAATTGTTAGATAAATGAATAGTTAGGTGGAGATATCGATAATTAGGTAACAAAGATGATATATAAGTAGATGCATAGATATAGATGTATAGATAGATGATGTAGATTTATAGATAATTAAATATGAAAGATGATAGAGACGTATATGTGCGCTAAGAGAACGATAGATAAATACTTTATTAAATGGAGATATAGACAATTACATAGCAAGGAAAGATGATTGATATACATCTATGGATGAAATGATAGATATATATATATATGAATGATAGGGAAGAAATAGTACAATGAATAGCTACAAGTATTCTTTACTTCTGGCTTATGTTAATTTTTTTTTAACACTCTTTAGAGCCCTTTATTTAATTCACGCCCTTTAATCTTAATTGCTGTGATTTTATAAAATGCACCTCAAACATTACAAGTTCTCGAACCATTCAGTCAATTTATCTTTTTGGAGATGATTTCCAGGAACCAGGATATTAAACACCATATAAAGCCGTAATCGGTGAAAAAAACACTCAGTGGGATAACTATTTTATTTCATGATAATCTGCATAGGGCAGATCAGTGCAAAAACACTTATCGTAGAAATATTATTAACAAACTCAAACATTTAAGCATAAATTATATTAAAGATGCAAAAAATTTCATAAGATTCAAAATTTGGTAACAAAAAGTTAAAGTTTTTTAAATTTAAAAGTTATTTATGAAGTCATTAATAATTATTGGAAATGTTTTGATTTATATCTTTCAGGACTGTCGGCAGCCCTTCCAGGGTGGTTCGTTCTTCGATCATGAGGGCCTACCTTACTGTGAGACGCATTATCATGCGAAGCGAGGATCGCTCTGCGCCGGCTGCTCGAAGCCCATAACGGGTCGCTGCATTACAGCCATGTTCAAGAAATTCCATCCGGAACATTTTGTGTGCGCCTTCTGCCTGAAGCAGCTGAACAAGGGCACCTTCAAGGAGCAAAAGGACAAGCCCTATTGTCACACCTGCTTCGAGAAGATATTTGGTTGAGTGATGAAGGGCGAAGAACTATGCCTATTGGTAATAATTTTATGTTTTATGATTCTGATCAATCAACGCAATATCTGTGCTTTGTATAACCGAGTCAAATTAGTAATGTAAACAATATAGACAGACAACACACTCACACACATAGCCGACGATATAAACGACATAAGAGATATGATGTTTTATTCAATTACGATTCGACGATAATAGTAGATTGATAATTGTTTCTGTTTATCAATTGATCGCTCGCGGCCAGAATTTATGTTTGCAATCAATCACATTATTCCAATTTGTGCCAAGCTGCCGAGCTAAGTACATAATTATTTGGCTGGCATAGTTAAATATCACAAACACAAACACACTCACACCCACACACATACACACACACACTCTTTATTTTACATGCATGCAGAGATAAGTCTTTTTCTATAATTGACCCTGCGTTTGTTTTTCCGTCAAATTTTTCAACCACACTTCGCTATGCTAATAAAAACCATAAAAATATTACACACACTTCTGTTTTGCTGCCATTTAACATATTTTTTCTCAAATAAAAACAAAAATAAATCAAAAGTAATACAGAAATCAAACAAATAAGTGTTTCAGTTAAATTTAAGCTCAAGTTCAATGGGAAACTAACAATTTTTTCAAAAGACGAAATCCTATGGAAACCTATAGATTCAATGTGCATTATGGATTTTTGATTGGAAGTGTCAACAAATATTCTTTTTCGGAAGCAAAAAACCCGAAAAGGTATACTCAGATGTGCACCTTTTAAGGATCAGATGAAAATAATTTCTAGAAACAGCTAAATCAATCAAGTAACTGAGAATTGGAGACGACGTAAAAGGACACGGAATCAAAGTCCCCTTCACAATCAATGTGTGGAGGGAAACAACAGCCAGGACTGTCCTGCGGCAGCGGAGCCGGTTTTAATATTATAATAAAACTATTTTTTGTAATAATACGATAACATGGATTTCTTTTGGGATGAAAATAAGACATTAAAAATAGCACGGATGTCCATTTTGAAGGACCTGATAGCTCGCCACTCATAGGACAATGTTCCTAAAGTTTTCTTGTACATTTTATTTTCAGACTTCAACTTTCGCTTGTAATTGAATTACACTAATAATTAGAATAATTTTATAAATCTGTAAAAAATATAAAATAAAAATGCATAAAAAATAAATTTTTAACGAATATTGGTTGTGCAGGTAAGTAGGTGGAAGGGGTGATTATAGATTGCATGGCTACTTATAACGGACAAATAAATAAATAAAAGATAACAAATTTTCAGCCTGCCATGGAAGTCCAAAGCGGCCGCGTTGGCTAACTTCCAAAATCAGAACTACCAGGCGAACATAAATCAGCAGCAAGTTGATTGGCAAATAAATTTTAGTATGCGCCCTCAAAACTAGGCTTCAGTTTTAGCAATGTCAAAAATTAACCATTTTATTTTATTTATTATCACTATAGTTCCTAGTTTGTCAACTTTGCGTTGGATTACCACTAAAACGGTAAATCGGTGAACATTGTAGTTCGATTTCCTCTGTTTTGCTTCATTTAAACTTTTTTGAATTCAAAAGCTAAGCACTAGAGTTAAGCATACATATATCGTATTCCCCAAACATCGATCGGTGCAAGGTTATCGGCTTCAAATAGTCTTTAGCAGACAAAAAGCAGAGCAGAACTTAGCAGACATACACAAACTGTAAGCTGGGCTATTATTATCCTTATTCTTTTTTGGTGATTCTGGTCAGCACATTAGGACGAGGTTGTGCAATTTTTAAATTGTCTTTGGTTCTTGATAAATGTGTTTGTACATACATATATGGGTATATGGGTATCCTGCAATTGAAATATCCTTTTTAGAAAAAGCAATGAAAATATTTTTTAATAATGAGAGAAAATGAATAACTACCTTATATATCCGAAGAGAGTAGTTGAACATATTGATGCGATTTTCTGCGGCTCTAATGCTGCGAATCTGTTGGTTGTATCTACAAAACGTTTATGTTCGGCTTATCAGTAGAAAGCTCTATCTCACGTGCTCTGAAACAAAAAAGATGATACTAATGTCTTTATAATTCACGAAAAATATTCGAAATAAGCGCCATACGCGGTACCTTGTGGTAGCTTAGAGTTTATTTAAGGTGACATTTACTCTACATAAGCCCTCTATTAAGATGTTAGAATGTTAGCCTTGCACTTTTATCTCACTTCGAAGCTTTCAACTACTTAGTCTACTTCGTTTATAGTTAATTATCTGAATCTATTAAAGATTAAATGTATACGACATATGTATATGTTCCAGTTCTGTGTTTTATTTTTATATATCCCTTTTTTTTTTTTGATTAACCTTTTTCAACTTTATGTAAATATCGTTAGAACGTTCTTATAATTGCATTTTCATATATAGTAAAGAAAGCTATTATCTAAAACACTCGGCAACCTCTTGTGCTTAGAACTTGAAAAATATATACATACAAGTATATCATCTTTTACTGCACTTCAAACTTAAACAAACAAATTTTCCCTCTAGTATGCCTTTTCCAAAATGTGAAAAAAGATGCATACAAATTGTTCACAGCTCCACCTTATGGACATAAGGAACTGTAGCAGCTGGAAATTGGCATTTTGGAGTTGGAATTCAAAAAAAAAAAGAGAAACAGGACAAGAAAATTGAATTTGCACGAATTCTTTATGAAAAGACTCGTAGAAGCATTTCCAGTATGTCTTGTGGCCTTGAAGTGAGTTAGAAACACAATGTTATATTTTAATAGCTTAATAGAGGTCTTTAATTTACATTTTATAGGCTGTGCTTAAAACGCTAATTTCGAAAAGGCCAGCTGGCTAATAAAGACAATGGCATCATCTTTCTTTGCCTAAGAGCCCGTAAGAAAGCTCTCTCCCTGATAAGCTGAGAAAAAATTAGTTGTACAAATATCTGCGTAAGGTATAAAAGAGCATTCGTAGCATTAGAAGCCCAGAAAAGCGCAACAGCATCAACATGTTCAACACCTACACTCGAGTTCTACTTATCTTTGGGGTCTTGGCCATAAGTATGGCTTACAAAATAACCCCATACATAAGAGAAGGTGAGTAGCGCCTATTGAGGAAGTCCAAAGCCCCATTACTTACATCCGATTACAGGCATACCAGACGCAGCGAACGTTACAACTGCTCCCTTCCTCAAGATCGGCGACGGCTACTATAGAATTGTGCCATACGAACAGAGAAATTGGTACAGCGCCTACGAGCAGTGTCGTAAATGGGGCTCCGAATTGGTTACCTTCGAGAATGTGACCGAATACGATACGGTTGTGACATATCTGGATCAGCAGTACGGACGAACGGCACGATTCTGGACCTCAGGCAACGATCTGGCCACAACAGGCACCCACAATTGGTTCACCAATGCAGAACCCATTACCCTGAATAGATGGGCCACAAACCAGCCGGACAATTACCTGGGAATCGAGCATTGCATACTAATAGCCTACGTTAATTACAACTCGACGAATTACCAACTGAATGATAGTCCCTGTGCCAACAGTACTGCTCTCTACGGATATATCTGCGAAGCAGACAAACCAATAACGGCATCGTTCATCATCACTAATTTTTCATAGTTAGTTGTATATACTCGTATATCGATGTACATATCTATATATACGATGTGGGTGTATATTTTGAATAAACAAATTCACTTTAATGTGCAGTACTCCTAGATTTTTTTATTTTTATTTTAGACATTTAGATTATATTCGAGGCATTTCTCTAAACCTTTTAAAACAAAATTAAAAGCAACTAGTCTTCAATTTTTTCTCGTGAACTGAGCGGATTTTATTGTGAATTTTCTAATGAGAAGTGCAAAACATTTAGATCTGAAGGATATCCAAGCAGAAAAACGAGTTTCTATTCTTTTTTCAGATAATACCCGACATCGTTTACACTTGTGGCATTATCTGTGGTGCAGTGTTCAATTTAGTGTTTGGAGGTAACGGAACAACTATTAAAAATAGGGCAATTACTCTCTAGACATTTTCTATTCGCATTATTGCCCATTGCCCATATAGTGATATTATATTATAGAAAGTAAACTTTAATTTTTGCTAAAGCATTCTCATTTTTTCAAATATAAATAAATATGCAAATACAAAGCATTTTTAAGTTGAACATATTGGTCTAGAATGGCATACTTTAGACACAATAATGGTACATAAGTATTTTAATAATTGATTTGGCATTATTTACAAAACATATTTTCCATCTGACTATCAAATTTTAGAATTGTTCATTACAGAACAGGCTCAGCTTTTAAATACCCCCCTCTATGGTGGTAGATACACCACAAAAAAATACAATAAAATATTTAAAAATTGTTTTAAAAACAAATGGAACAAAAACTAAAAAATGTTAATATTTTAACGAAAATATAACGTCAACGAACTGCTGCAATTATTGATAATGCCGAGGCAACAGATCTGGATTGTGGATTATAATTTAGTGGATTGTGCCACATTTAGCCTGGACGCACACCTTAAGCATCACTTTTAACATATAGACTGCTCACACTAAACGGCTAAACAACTACTATAGATGGCGCTAAAGTGCCGCTCGCATCAGCAGCGTGTTTTTTATGTTTTTATCTGCCAGAGATGCCGGTAGCATGCTGACTCGCTCCCACTCTGACAGCGTGCGCTCGTGCGGTATTTATACCCTCCAGCTGAGTACACAAGGTTTGTGCAAATTTATGTACATCTAGCCCTCGCTTAACGCTAACTCTTTTAATGCTAACTCGGTCTAACGCGATTGCAAATTTGCTACCCATTCTCTTTTAACGCGGTGAAATACCTCGTTCTAACGCGATTGACAAAATTGATTTTTTTATTTTGTCCATTATTGCTGGAGTATCTTTGGATATAGTATGTATCACCACACATGAGATGTGTGTATAAAAAGGGAAGTCCCACTTTCTACACCGTCAGAGTAAGCATGAGTGCATACTCATAAATAGTTGCTAAGGTGAGCAAAACATTATTTCTTCAGACGCGCACATAGTAAGATTAAAATTCATGTGATAAGTGAAATGGTTTAACCGTTGAATGAAATAAAATGGTATAAAGTTTCTTGCTGTTTCTACATGGCAGCAAAAAAAAAACCATATAAGGAGAGCTGCTATGAAGCTTTAAGAGCCACTAAACAGTCGAAAATTACAGATTTTGTTGCCACGCAAGGGAGCCACCATATAAAAAATGTTAATTACTAAAGCTGCTATAAATGCCACTAAATGAATTTCCATTTTATTTTAATACATACATATGTGTTATCTTTTTACTTTAGAAAACTTTTGCCATTTGAATAAACCTTTTTATGTTTTTGAAACTAATAAATTTAAATACTAAAAAATGTTTGTATGCATTTTTCGAAGTCTAGGAACGTAACCCCTCATTTTGTATGGAAAAAACAGAAGGCAGCAACTGCGTATATGTTTATTTGATCAAGAAGATCAAAATCGAACTGGGCATGATCCATATTATGTATTTTATTTCATCTTATATCACAAAACGCATTCTATTTGTGATTCCTCTACTTCATTTAAAATGTCATCCCAAATAAATAAATCGTAAATAAATCTATTGGTTGAACAAATTGGTTAATCTATAGAAAATCAAACCCGTTCAGTTCTTATCTCACATATCACATTGATTGAGGGTATTTCATTGTCGCGTTGCTCGAATGTGTCATTCCCTCTTATTTTTTATCTACAAAAGATGCCGGTAGCATGCTGACTCGCTCCTTCCTTGACATTGAAATAAGCATACGTGCGTGCGGTTTTTTATACGTGTTTTCAGTACAATTTGCGGCACCTACATACGCTTACATACATACATAGGTATTTCCTTCCCTATTGTAAATTCCGCCACTTTCCAGTGAGTGTAACAGTAACTGTAGGTGGTGGTTTTTCCAAGCGCGCCCCGCGCCCCTATTAAAGTTTCGTTTATTATGAATCGAGCGGCAGCCACTCAGACTCAGTCAGTCGGTCGCTGTTTCTGTCTTGCCAGTCAATTTTTATCCGTCGGCCGTGTTGGTTGTTCGGTTCGCTTGCAACGCTTTGATTACGTTGTTGTTGCCTCTTTCGCGTGCGTGCATACGTTTCTGTGATTGTGTGCGGCATTTGTTAGCTTTTTATTTGTTTAAAACATCTGTTTTGTTCTGGCGCGTAATTGTGCGAAACTAAAACGAACAGGTAGTGCGAAAAGTGTTTGAGAATGTTTAACTGTGTTGTGTAAAAACGGGTAACAAATCAACACACATTTACAAAAATATATTGCGTTCAAGAGATCAAGAAGCGACAAGCGAGCTGCAGCAGCAACAACAACAACCATAATTGCAAAAACAATAACAGAGCAACAGGTGGGTTCAAATATACACACACACAACATTTCTGCAAACACACACGTGTTACTCACAGTGTAGACAGCATAGAAACATCTGACATCGTCGCCGTCTTCCTCTTCTACAACAAAACAATATACATAGATATGCATACATATATATATATATATATATATGTATGTATGCATGCAAACATACACACACATTTATGAGTGTGTGTGATGTAATTGAAACAGTTATATGAGTCCTTAGCATATTGCAAAAAAAAAGAAACACAACGCTGAGCGGCAACAAGCAGCGGGACGCTGGGCAGTGTCGGCATGTAGCACAGGGTGTGTCAGTTGGTTTATGTCAATGATATCATGCCCAGCAGTAGCAGCAGCAGCAACAACAATAGCATACCACCCGCCTTCTTATCCAAAAAGGCAATAACAAAAATAAAAGTAGCTAAAATAGGAATAGCACAACTATTAAGCTGCATGTACAGTACATAACAGGTACAGATGATATTAATGTAATGTTCATTATTTCATGGATTTGTTGTAAGACTATAAAATGTAAGTGTTTTCAAGTTGTTAGCTTTAACAGTTAGTTAAGTCTAAGGGAATATTTTAAGGCGTTTTCAGGAATAAAAACGATCGACTAAATTGAAAAGGGGGGAAAAAATACCCGAATTTATATTTTGGATAATCTAACCTATGATATGTACACGATAAAGTTGAATATGATTGCCGATTTAACGTGGACAATTTGAAGCGGAAAAGTACTGTTCTCCAAAAAAAGGTGTATCTTTACGAACTATAACTATGTATGAAGTAAGGCCTGTTTCTATAAAAAAAAGCACTTCCAATTTTTAAGTTTATCAAAGCAGCATTGATCTTGTAGATGTATCCTTTACCTTTAGCTCGATAAACATTCAAGTTTTTAAAACATATTTCTCAGAAAAATCGTTTGTTATGGTTTTTTATGGAAAATGTAAGTACCAAGTCTGTACCATGCTGAAAGCAATCGTATTTCTCTTAGCCAGAAAACCCTCTATGGTAGACATAAACAGTGATAGTCCGTACGAACACCTAAGAGTTTCTTAAAAGTAGGAGTACAAAGAAAATTAGACGTTAAGTATGTAGTTTACGGGAGAATCCAAACAATGTATGGCCATAAACGAATGTAAATAAAGGCGAATACAAACAATTAATTAAACTTTCTGCGAATGGGTGGAAAGGGAAGGAAAGCGCAAAAATGTGTGCAACTCGCCAAATGAAATTGGTAGAAAAGAATATTAAGATTTGTTTTAACAAGCAAAATAGTAAATGAAATGGAAATGACGCTACTAATGCCATTGATGTCTCGTGTGTGAATATATTTTTGGAACTTCACCCAAAATAACACAGTTTTGCATAAAAGCGATGCTGACTGTATATATGTATGTACATACATACATATATATGTACATATGAAAATAAAAAACGCACGTTTTTCACATACCAAATACAATTAAATTGATTGTTATTGTTGTGCTCCGACAGAGAGAGGTACAAACATATGCACACAAATCTTTTGCCGGCTCCCCGCTAGGCTACATATTTGATTTTTATACCCTATATCGGAAAAGTATACCAAGAATTTTCCTTCTCCTGAAGAGAACTGATGTTATTAATATATGTATAGATAAGTATATGACTCACATTAACACAGAGTTCAGCTTGAGACCACAAACTTTGCATTTGTTATCCAAATGCAGATAATTATTTATTGCAAATCATTGTTTTATATAGCTGACATAGAAATAAATGGTTTAAAAGTTAATATTAGTAAGAATATTGTTTGTTTATCGAGAATTCGAAATAAAGCGAGGCACTATCTTTATTTATTCTTAATTTATTACTCCTTATACATATTCTAAAATTTTATAAAAATCCCTGCAATATTATATATAGCTGCCCTAGAAACGCTGGGTTTTTTATTTGTGCTGCATTAATTATTATTTTTTAGGTTATTTAAACATAAATATAACCACAACCGTATTTTTTAATATGTATTTATTTTGTACTATTTTTTAGTAATTAGAGAGTACAGAAAACGGATGAAAAGAACGATTTTTAAAAAATATAAAAATTGAACTTTTTGATTTAATATAAATTTTGAATTAATTTGATTTGTTGAATACTTTTGAACTATTGTTATTATTTGTTTAATGCTTTTTTTTAAAGAACAATTGCACTATTATGTATTATTATTTTCTCAATGTTGTTTTAAAGATTACTTTTACTGTGAGAGTTTTGTTATGCTTTTATAGAGTATCCAAAAGTCGAGAGCACGCGCCTTCTGCGTTAAAATTTTGTTTAAATATATTTGTGTATATACATATGTAGATGTGTATGTGTGAATGTATACTTACGTACTATACATTTGATTGCTCGCTAATTTGTCAATGGAAGCGCTCTGTAAATAAAAGTGAAATTGTGATCATTGCTGCAATTGCTGTTCTGCACATTAACATAATTTACATTTAAATTGCAATACAAATGCCCAGCCATGTAAAGACACTTAACGAGCCCTCGGCAACAGCGACAAATGTCAGTCACTCTAAAACTGTGTGGAATGTAAGCATTGTGCTATTCTCATGCTCACAATTACAGTTAATTAATTTTGTTGTTGTTGTTGTTGCGCGCCTAACGACAAATTGTGAACTTGTACTCACACACACATGTACATACATGTGAGTCTGTATGTTTGTACGATATGTGTTCTTACACGCAACAGTTGAAGTCCAATTTGATGACAGCGTGGCTTGTTAATTGGGGAGAAGGGTTTGTGCCTAGGATCATTTGTGGACATGCCAGCCTAACCGTTTAAGGCGTAATTCCCAAATTAGGGATAAACGATATTAAATTATATAAAAAACATGCCACAGTTTAATACAGGGCTTAAATAATGCTAATGGAGTGGCATCTAATGGGAAACACATGCCATACTCGCATCAGCAAAGCTTCCGTGTTCGCATTCTAAAAATGGGACAAGGTCATCATTCGTTTAAACGCAAACAACATTTCTTTTTGTCATTTTTTGACATTTTTTGCAATGCAAAAGATTTTTGTTATTCGTGATAAGTTTTCAATGCATAAAATACGTTCAGGATCCATCAAAAAACCGGCATATAAAGCAATTACGCAAGAGTTTTCTTCGAATGAATGTTTGTCAACCTCGACTGCTGACTAAAATAACTTAAGATAAGAACAGCCTCTCTGGAGAGTTGTTGGCTTTGCGATAATGACAGTAGGTTCTGCGATAATAAAGAGAATTCGTTGTCAAAAGTTTTTCTATTAGTCATTGCTTTGCAGGTAAAACATCTTTGTTTATCAAACAGCGCTTCTTCGTCTTTCAATCTCAATTGTCCGAATTATTAGATGACTATGTTTGTATCTATTAAAACAGTATCTAAGGGAATAAGCTTAATTTCCTTATAAGTCAGTTTCAGTTTAACCTGATGCATCCATGAAAGGTTGCCCTGCTAGCACCAATTGCAGGCGTTCCTAGAAAAGGTATTGTACGTTTTTTGGTTTATAAGATAAACCAGGAGATACTGCTCTAAGCTTGGTTTGAAATAACGCAAATATTAGATACGATTTTAAATTTAAAGTAAACGATACATTAAAAATGTATAATAGAAGGCTTTAAGAATCACATTTATGATGACAACAACGTGCATCGCAAATGGAAATTTCTCTAGGTATAGTCCCTATGCACACGTCTATTGTCTATTAAGTATAGTATTTTAATGAATTTCAATTACACTGTTCACAATCTTGATTTAGATGAAGTTTATGGTTAATTTAATATGTATTAATATATGTATTATCATATTCTTAGACGCAAGAATAATTGCAAAAGTTCCGATCTGTTTTTGCAATCATTTCTGTTTTCGAAAATACCTTATGGTAATTATTAAAGATTTTGGTGGGATTTCTGCCACTTGCCTTAATTTGTAATACATTTGCAGATGGCATATTCATAAATTTTGGTCATCTTGTTAGATTTTAGTTTGTTTTTCTTACAGCGTACTCAAGTAATTCAAGCAATTTCTTTAGAAACTATATTTCAGTTGCCAATCTTTCAGATTTATATTGTAAGGTGATGAATCTATTGCTAATAATTAAGCAAAAACCAGTCTATATCTCTTCGAAGCGCTACAACATTTCATGGAAATATATTTTGTGTAAATTCCACGACTACTTTAAAGCCCCAGCATTTATTTTTGAGCTGGCGTTGGAAATAACCAGATAACATGCTAATTTCTAGACAAAGTCTGAGTAGAGCAATTTTGCTATTTTGTAACCGTAAAGGCTGGCTATTAAGCTATTCGCGATCATATTATTGTTTATCTTATTGACTTATCGCCGAACAATGAGTTAACATTTTCAAACAGTTAAGCAGGCGCTGTGACGCCCCCAAAAGGCACTTAATTAGCGGGCACACAGTGGCGTCCCAACTGTAAAAATGTGCATAAATATTTGTTTGGTTTATCAGATCAGAACACAGGGTCGTGGCGTGTTGCGCATTTTCTGTTTGTTTCCCCCTATTTGCATAGCTTTTGTTGTGTAGATATGTATATACATGCATGTAAGTATGTATATGTGTGCCTCTTCTAAATTTAGCTTTGCAACCTCAAAGAAGATTGGCTTTACTGTTTATTCCAGCAAGTAATTTACTTTCGCTGATTGCTCACTTTATGGAATCTTGGGAATTCGCAGCAATTTAAAGTTGACGCACACAGACAATCACACAATATTTGTATATCGGGTTTAAGTAAACATTGCATCTGTGTACACACACACACACACACAAACAATATGTATGTATGTAAATATGTGTGGCCGGCCGGCAACTTGAATTTGTGTGTGTTCGGCTTTGCCCTTCTTCCCAACTATTTTGTTAACCACCTCTTCTTCGGGAGAGAGCTTGAGAGGATGACGGAGAGAGATACAAAAACCGGTTATTTGTTATCTTCTGCTCTCTTC